TGTTTTAAAAACATTTTTATAACGTAATATGAAACTGTTTAATATATGCAAACAAAACATACCTTTCGAATCGTTTTTAAAACGTTTCAAAAACATTTTATAGAAATGTTCCTTAAAGATTTTACATTAACCATTTTGAAAACATTTTAAAAATGTTTTTAAAATGTTACAATGGGAAAGAAAAATGTTTTAAAAACATTTTAAAAATGTTTACTCTGAAATGTTTTGAAAAAACCTTTTTATAACTGCAGTAAAATGTTTTGAAAATGTTTTGTGCTACCTGGGAACCGAGGTCCCGTGTCACAGTAGGTGTTGGCACGAAAAAGATCCCTCACTGCTCAATGGCCCTGAGTGCCGAGTATATGTTTAAATTTGCAGCCCTCCACCGGCAAGTGATGGCGTCTCGATATGACGGGAAAATTCTCGAGAGGGACGTTAAACAATAAACAAAGAAGCAAACAAACCTCCGAAACATCCGAGACGTTCACCTCTAGTGCCGGGCGCTTGGCGAAGGAACAGTCACTACCTCTGTTTACGTCTTAGGTTTGACGCGGCGCGGTGAACGAGAATCGAACCCCGGTTTCCCGATCACGAAGGAGACAGAAACGAATAACCATGACTATCGAAGGTAGATCATTGTTTGAAGACAATTGGCGACCTGGAGTCAGGTTTGAACCTGAAAGTGAGACAATGAAGCGGTCGCTTTTAGACCATTCTACGCCAAAACTAGGTGATCAAAAGATCAGACGAGATTCCAGATTTGAGACAAAGAGACTTTCAGAATCGAGAATTGAATAAACATCAAATCCCTTCCTCTGTACAAGAAAAAGGAAATTGAGACGAACTAATAGAAAATACTTGAAAATCACTTGTGCTGGAGCCAAGTCAAATACGGAGAAAACTTTGAATTAGTTCTATTGGAGACCATATCTAGTGAAAGAAATTGAGCACACCTCTATTTGGTAAGTATGAGCCATGTTTAACTTATCGATCCGACAGAGCCAAAAGAAAATAAAGCAGAGGACGGACCAGGGTATAATAATACAAGAGCAGGGCGCAAATTTAAGATAACAGCTCAGATTGAAACACAACAGAAAACGTTTGGTGGAAGCAGACTAAATAGAAAACCTGCTACGTATAATTGAGCCTCATGGCAGAATTATAAATCTACTTTGATGTATGTTCAATGCTTGGAAATTGGATCAAACTTAAGAAAGGTCTATACCTAGCTGTTTCATCAAGAGGACAAGCACATAGAGTGCTTGGTAATTTGTCCGGTGAAGCTCTTAATGATTATGATGTTCTAGTTGGAGCGTTAAGTGAGAAATTTGAGCCTTCAAATCAGACTGAGTTGCAAGCATGCAAAAATGCCACAGAATCACTTACAGAACTTGGACAAAGTATCACAAGATTAACTAACTTGGCCTATCCAACGACACCCACTGACGTCAGGGAATCCCTAGCTGAGGAGCATCCTTGATGCTCTCTTCGACTCAGATATGAGACTCGGTATAAAGCAGGCTAGACCAAGAGACATTTAATGAAGCTATTAGAAATGCTAAAGAGCTAAATAGAAGCCTATAGCAAAGCGGAGCTAAAGCAGAAAATAAAGGTTTCTACAGAAGGTTTCTACAATGAGACACCATGAAATATATCTAATGTAAGCGATCTGTTTGAAAACATGGGAAAGGCGATGAATGATATGAGACAAGAAATAAAATCCGTAAAGTAGAACAAGTCTCAAAGAAGGAACTATCCAAGCCAAAAAGTCCCAAAGGCTTCTTTTCAAAATGATAGGAAGGAAAGGGCAACTTGCCATAACCTGCTGGAAGGATCATTTGAAAAGAAAGTGCAAACTCCAAAGAGAAGGAAAAATGATCATGCTCAAAGAGCCAAATCTCAAACGAAAACAAGTGAGCTCCAACAAGTTTCCAAACAGTTTGTTTCATCAAATTCTGGGACGCGAGGCAAGAACATAAAAATTGTTTGTATTGGTATAAATAACAGAATCAGTGATCAGTATCTATATTTAAGTTCTATTCAATTGTACTCGAGAAAAATGTTGGCCGGCACAGGAGCTACTGTCTCTAAAGAACCGTATAGAAATGCAAGTGCAAGAAGAGGAACTCAAAAAACCCACCAGAGATATTTTCTCTGCAAATGGTGAGTTAGTTGAACTGTATCGGAATACATCCACATTGGATATAGATCATAAGAAAATACCTTAGCTGTAGCAAAACTGTCTGTAGATGGTGTATTAGTACTGGATTTCATGATTGAGAATAACTGCCATAGACTTGACAAACAGAAAAATACGGATCAGAAAAAATGAAGAAGCATTGATATCAGAAGGTGTTGGTGGTTACTTCAAGATGCAATAGCAAATACCCTGAACGTCCCACCTAGAAAAAAAAATCATTACTTCTCAGTGGTGACACACACAGTGGAATTCGATTGGTTCAGCAGATTCAACAGATCGGAGATAGGTTTAATAGAGTGCTTGCTAATATAGAAAGTGACATTCTCATTAGAATCATGAACTTGACGTCAGATGTAAAAGTTTTACACACGGGCACATATAATTGAGCAAGTCATAGGACCGGAGTTACGCATAATACAAATTCCACAGACCTGAATCAGTTTAATTCTGTAGTAGAGGATCTGTATGAGAGATTCAGCAAAAATCTGAGTACAAAGCAAACGATAAAGCTCAGATCATTGCTTCAGAAACATTCATCTCCTTTTGCTACTGATAGTAAGGATTTTGGTATCATATTTTTGATATCATAAAGCATAAAATAAATACAGATCTGCTATGCCTATTAAAGAACCACTGCACAGAATACCTGTCCATATGCGTGGGAGTAGCCAAACATAGATGCAATGTTAGAAAGATGTGTTACTGAGCCGTCAATGAGCCTCTGAGCAGTTGAAATAGGAATAGTACTAGTGAAAAAGAAAGATAGCAGTGCACTACTCTTTATAGATTACAGAAAGCTAAATACTACGAGTCTCGAGACCATTTATCTGGAGCCCGGTTGGTCTGTATCTGCTCTGGATACTGGAAAGTTGAAAAGGATCCAGCAGATAAGCCGAAAACCACCTTCACAACCAAAAGAGGACTCCTTCAGTTCAAAGTAATGCTATTTGGCTTATGCAATGTCTCAGCGACGTTCGAAAGACTCATGGAGTCGATAATGAATGGACTACAATGGGACATTTGTTTAGTGAAGTTAGATGACATTATTTTCATAGCCAAATCATTTGAAAAAATGGTAAAACCTTTTGGAAGCTGTATTTGACCAATTGAGATCTGCTGATCTCAAACTGAAAGCATCAAAATGTTTGCTTTTCTCCAAGAAAGTTGATTACATAAGTCAGGCCATTCTGAAGAAGGCATTTCAACAGATCAGAAGAAAACAGAAGCAATCAAGCATACGAGCGAGTCATTGCAACAAAAGTTTTAAATCGGTTTTGGCCTCTGTGGCTATAACAGACGATTCATTAAAAAAATTGCATCAATTGCAAAACCACTTCACCAACTGACAGAAAAAGCAAAGTGTCTGAACTAAGACTGAATTAAGAAAGCGCAAATTCTGAAGACATGGGGGGGGGGGGGAAAGATACATTGATCAATGATAAAGAAATTCTTTCAGAAAACGAATCAGTAAATGATCCTGAAAATGTCCCAGTTCCAAAACTGCATGTTCAAACTTAACGTCATCCGTATTGGTGGTAGGACTACGTAGTTGAAAATTAACAATTGTATTACTTATATATCATAGTAGTCGGAAAACAGATTCAAAGTAATGCAATTTTATTGAAGGATCAACATGCCGAGAGAGAAAAACAACGCCTAGAAAAGATCAGAAGCTTCCAATATGCCCATTCAAGACGCTGGACTTAGAAAACCTGAAGAGACACATTGTAGAATGTAGACTGAAGATGCTGGAAAAGAGAATTCGATGTGAATTGTGTAACTATGCATCAAGCAAGAATGTTAAACTGATATGACACAGAAAGAGACATGTTCAAAGAGAACAACATCCATGGTTTCTCAGATGATGACCAGATATCTGATCCAAGTGGTATTTATGATATGGAAACTTTGAGAGGACTTTGGTAGTAGGGAGAGTGTATTACAGAAGACTCAAATGGTGAAGATACGCCACAGAAAAAGAATGAGACTCCCAAAGAACAAAGATTGGTACAAGAGGAAGTTCAAGGATCCTCAGTTGAGATGCAAGAATTGTTATAAGTTGGAGTAGTGAGAAAACCAAACTTGCTCAAAAAGTGATTCTTGGGAAAGCTCAAATAACTTCTGAAAATTTAACAAAGAGAATCTGTGTACAAAAACTTTGGGACGGGGTAATATATAATCTAAGTCTTAATTAAGATATATTATAGACGGTCGAAGCATAGCTCTAGTTAGTTGTCTCAATTATGTCTCACCTGTTCTCTCGCTTATTGTAGACCAAGTTTTCTTTATTTAAAAGATTAATGTATGATAGGGAAAGAAAGACTTTTTCAGACATGACAAATCCCTGTCTCACCTTATCCTAAGCTTTCCTCAGCAGCGTCCTGCTCGACTATCCCTCGTAGTGTGTATTTCTGCACTGAGAATACAGCGCTTTTATACCTTTCTAATTAGCATACTTGATTCTCATTGGCTATTGACTTTACATGATCTCTCTCTCTCTCTCACTTTCGAAAGAGAGAGATTCATAATTTATTTAATTGAATTTTCTCTAATCACATTACGGACGCTTCATAACGGTCCCACATAATAATAAAAATGAAAGTTTTTTGCTGTTTTTTGTTTACAAAAAAGTTCTTAGATAAAATATGAAATATTTAATGTTAAGCTTGAATTTTGTGCTGTCTTCCATATTACCTAGCTATTTACATGTTTATGGCAAAAGATTTATGTAAATTTCATTTACCTACTTGCGGATTTAACTTTCAAATGCCAACGAATACAAATAAGCAAATTCAGAGAATTATATTCCCCCATTTTCAGGGTTTATTGTTGGAGTGCAATGCTTCATTGAATATCAAGCTGTATTTCTAGTCTAACAGATGTACTATCAATTCCTTGCCTCTTCAGGTGCTGCAAAAGCTATGGTGTTGGAAAGGGGGTTCAAACTTGATTGTTAAGAATCATAGCACATTCGAAAAGATCTTTCACAGGTAATGTAATGAAATGATTTTTATTATTAAAAGCACACTAGAAAGGTCGTACATTAATTAGAAATTCCAGTTTCCCTCCCACTTCTCATCAACTCCTTCATTTTCTCCCACATCCCCGAAACCCCTTTCCAATCCATAGTACGCAATCTTAGGCCAAGTATCAATAGCAGTTAATATCAAATTATCTAATTTTTTTAAAAAAGAAAAAAAAAAAACAAGCACATTTAGAGTTTTGTTGTCAAAGCTTTCCACGTCATCTACTTATCCCATTAAATCTTCATATTGCATTCATTCATACAGGTTGTTTACTTGAAACTTAATCCGAGAAGTCTGAGGCTTCATATATAGACTGTAATTATGCGATGGTTTGTAGGGTTAAAATTAATATCCCCTAATTTGCTGAATCTGCTTCAATAAAGCCTAAAATAGCTGAGAAAATCATAGAATCACATGAATCCTCTAAAGAAGGATAAGATTCTATGTACTTTAACTTTGATCTACAACTCCACTAAACAGAAAGGTAACTTGTACTAAAATCACTATCTCAAAGTTGCAGTAAAAACAATAAAAAAATATTTGGCGGACGGACAGAGACACAGTTCCTCTCAAGTTTCGCCGGTTTGGGACTTACAAATACCCTATGAATCAGTTATATTCAATCATAAAATGACATCATGTCCTTCACAAGTTGTGATTTCCACTTGTCTCATCACACTGATTGTCATTGTCAGCATTCTGTTTTCGATAACATCTACGTAAAATTGGTTCCGACATGAATAGTACACCAGCCAAAATACTTATGGCTCCAGAAACATGGAAAGAAGTGTTCCAGTCGCCTGTCGAATCTTTTATCCAACCTATAAATGGAGAAATTTAATTAGATGCATAACAGTAACCTGCACATGCAAATTAAGTTGAATTTTTTTATTGCTGTTTGAACAATACTTGCATTTTTATAGAAAATTCTTTTTCGTATTTCTATGGTGATATAAACCTAAACCATTTTTACAATCAAGATTTCCATTTGTTACCTGTTTAAATTAAATTAATAAGCTAGATGATACAATATATTTTTCATCATCTTCGCTAGCCAAAGGTCTATGATCCGCTACTCAGCTTATAATCCCTAGGGTTTATGAAGAGAGTAGCGGATCAGAAACCCTTGGCTAGCGAGGAAGATTTTTTATATAATCAAAAGACATTGATAAAGTTGTTATTTAATTTTTTTTTTTAAATACTGCAAGGGTAAATTTAATTGTTAGAAAGCTCATCTAGATAGGGAGGAAACTTGAGAGATTTTGAATTGCTCTAGTAGTGAAATGAACATCCTAGAAAAGTAATATTACATGTATACTGATAATTTTACATATTTTTTCTCTCGTATAGCTTTAGTCACCCGCGTGGCGCAGTGGTTAGAGCGTCTGCTCTAGAGTCGCAAAGTAAGGAGTTGATCCTTACGTCGCGGGTTCGAATCCCACTGTGGGACGTGGAGACCGGTCCTTCGGATGAGACCGTATAAACCGAGGTCCCGTGTCGCAGTAGGTGCTTGCACGAAAAAGATCCCTCACTGCTCAATGGCCGTAAGTGCCGAGTATAGGACAAAATTTGCAGCTCTCTACCGGCAAGTGGTGGCGTCTCGATATGAGTGAAAAATTTTCGAGAGGGACGTTAAACAATTTACATTCAATCAATCTCGTATAGCTTTACAAAATTACCTGCAACCGGTTGTGATAAACCTGCAGAAACAGACAGACAAAGGTACAACAGTCCCTGAGCTTGTGGAAGGTTCTCCAGACTAACTATCTCTAATAACAGCAGAGGAATAAACATGAAGAAAGAACTAGGAAAAATCCCAACGGCTACCGAGTAGACTATCATCCACCAATATCCTTGTATCCAAGGTAAAGCAAGAGAAAATATTCCTCCGAGAAAAGCACATGTTCCTATGATGTTTCTTTTCTGGATGAGTTTAGAGTCTGCAAGCCATCCTATACTTGGACGAGCAAAAATCATTGATCCGCCAATAGTGGATAAAAATACAGCAATGTCAGCATTGGTCATTCCTTGTATCCTAGCATGACCAGGTATAATGACGAAATTAGATAAATATGCCAAAATATTACACATAAAAGCTAAGGTGTAAATTACAAAGGAAGCGTTATGGAATAAATAAAAATTAAATAGAGGTCGTTTCGGGTGATTATCTATGTGATTGTGAACAGATTCTCTCAACACAGCAACTTTCTCCTGAGAGACATTATGTCCAGATTTAGATTGAAGATGTATTAGCGCAATTTTCTTTGTAAGTTCTTTCGGTTGCCTAATGAGGGCTGCGCAAACACATAAATTCAACGACAAACCACTGATCACAATGACTGCACCACGTAATCCGTAAGTTTGGATCAGAAACTTGTACAATATTGGAAACAAAACAGATCCTATTCCCGTTCCAAGCAGTACTATGCCTATTGCAAGAGCACGTCGTCTTTTGAAGTAAAAGTTCACCACAGTAAAACATGGACTGTAAACCAATCCAAAACCAAAACCTGAAATATAATGCAAAAACATTTAGCAAATATGTTTACAATTGATATTTTGGTAGAAAATGATAGACAAGACTTTTATCATCTTTAGTGCATGACAACAACAACGTTGTGACAAACCTGATAAAATTCCATAGGTAATGATCCAGTACTCCATTCTTGGAACAAAAGCACTGAGAAACATTCCGAGAGACGCCAGAAATCCACCAATCATCATGACAGACCGGAAGGTGAAGAAGACTTCTGAGACATAATTAGCAAACGGCGCTATAAAGGATGAAAATAAGCATATGGTAAAAAAAAACTATACTGAACACATGTATGAAATAAAATACAACATACGTTCAAATTTGTATCTCTTAAATTACTGTTATCTTTATTTATTGCTCGTTTTGAAAATGTGACAATTTCTACGCACCCACTGCAAAACTTAGAAAGTTAGAAAGACTTGGGATCATTGCAGTATCTCCGGATCTGGTGTGGTAGAAATCTAGCAGCTCCTTGTATATAATACCGAAAGAAGTCACTCCTCCAATGTATATTGTTGCTGTTATTGTTGTGGCTGTGATGAAAAATAACACATTTTTAAATTAGAGGACAGCCAGACAAAACCAACCTTCACCTACCCTGAAAATAGAAAGTTTTCTTTTTTCATCCATCGATGTGAGTTATTTTCCCTCTATATATTGACCTGGATAATATACAATGAAAGAGAACATTTTTGATATAGATTTTTAAAAAATAATGTTGACATAAGTCTATACAATACGTAATATTGAGTTGTTTTTTAAACTATTTCTTGATAATAAGTAAAGAAAGAACAATCTCTTCAAGCTTTTAACAAGAATGAAAACTCTTATTTGTGGACAAAAAAGGCTTGCACAGGAAGGTTGGTATTCAGTACACTGTATTCAGTTTCCTAGTTCCAAGTCTCATGTGCAAACTCAAGGTAAGAAGAGAAGTAAGGTTCGATAGTTCTACTATAAAAACAAGATCTTTTTGACAATTGGATTGTGGTTTTTCTACCGATCTTGTAGAGTAGGATTTCCTCCTTAGCCAGTTTTCCTCCCGGAATATGTATTCCAGGATTTTCCCCATGAGAGGAAATCTCACTCTAAAGCCAAATTTCCCCCTCCTTCTTTCTCAGAGTAGGATTTCCCCTCTTTTATCAGCGCTGAAGTCATATCGACAATATTTTGGCTAAAAATTTATATGAAAGTCATATGAATTTTTAATGAAAATATGAGTGTCTTTGATTCAAGAATTGTCAATTTCAGTATGAAACCTCATGATATATAGTGGTTATACGTAGTTTAAGTCATTGAGTCTCATGCATCGATCCTTTTTTGAAGAGTGTGTGAGAAAATTCTAAAACTTATGTTATTGATAGGTTCCATTTACCATTTTGTAATTATTTGAATCGAGTTGTTCATTAAAGATAACAAAACAAAAACAAAAGCAGGAGCAAAGAAATACAAGAAACACTGGTTTTGCAAGCCCCAGCTGTGTATTATTGGATTTGAAGGCAGCGAACAAACACTCTCTTGAAGTTTTGCAAATATCTTCTTTTTTTCTTTAGAAGTAAATGACTCATTTTTAGTTCTATAGCAACGGCAGCTATTTTGAATATTTTAAACACCAGAATCTTGGAGAGATACTTACACATCAATATTATGTGCATGTAGTTTGAAATGCAGTTGGAGAGAGAAAAAAACATTTAAAATAAACTTCCTTTTTGTTTCCATGGATACAGTTAAAAATTTGTCCAACCGATTACATTGCAAAGCTCTGATCCTTCGACGTATTTGGCTGTTTTTTTTTTTTTTTGTTTTTTGTTTTTTGTTTTGTTTTGTTTTGTTTTTTTTGTTTTGCACCCCCTTTTTCAGCTCTTCAATTTTTTAAATTTAAATATTTCAGATTTCTAATGTTTCGGCATGATCATCACTGAAGAGACATAATTTGTCGAAATGCGCATCTGGATTTACATTGTACCAATTTTTTTCAGAAGCAAGTTTAATCAGATAAAAGATTAAGATTTTATTGCTTTAAAAGAATTGGTTGGACAGTTGCTGAAAAAATGAGGCTTTAAATTTTCAATTTTCATACTTCGTATGTTTCATGGAACTGGTCGCAATTTTGAAGAAGGGACACTTGTAACAATGTGTCCCCCTCCCCATCATACGTAAGTACAGCCATGATATATTATTTGGGGAAAATTGGCTCTAGGGGAAATCGCACTCCATACTTATTACCCAGAGTAGAATTCCCTCCCAGTAGTGAATCGTGTGTGATTTCCTTAGGGAAAATCCTACTCTAGAGTTATTTTTCTTTGGTGGTAGTCATACTCCAGAGTCTATTTTCCGGGGAAAATCCTTCTCTAGAGTCAGTTTTCCGGGGGGGGGGGTTAGAGGGGAAGGCCTCCTCTATGAGACCGGTATTTCTGACCCATGACATATACCAAATTTACCCAAATTACGATCTCTAGAGGGATATCTATAAAAGTCAAATATATGTCAAAATACTTTTTTAGAATTAAGAGACCTATTTTTTCATGGTAATTGCCATTAAGCTTTAAATGAGTGAGTACTGCATGTAGTAACAAACTTACATTACATTTTAAAACTACTGTTAGTAGATAGCAAGTGATAGAACGTACATTATGGATAATATAATGAAAAGTAGACTAGTTTAAGGCAGGTAATATAACATTTACAAGCATGCAATTTATTGATTGACAAAATGGGTTTAAAGTACAAAAAAGGTGCAGTGCTGGTGTGTTAGATATTTGAGAAAAACACATGCTGGAAGGCATCCAAAAAGTTAAACATTTTTCTTGAAACTTCCCTATATTACATTACTCCAACAGGAACGGATCGCTTCTAAATAGAGATCTCGACACCTATAGAAAATTTGATGAGGAAGTTTCTTTAATTACTCTTTGAGACACAATCTACTGAATGTATATTATGCAATAGCTATAGTTATGTAATACATGCACGATAAATGACATCTTGAAAGCGTCAGTGGAGAGCCGTCTGGCAATACACTCCCAGTTTCAACATAATTACCTAGCAACACCACGTATGTGTAACAGCTACCTCCTTCTTTCATCAACATTATTCTGTTTCTGTGTTCTATTCAAGCTCTGTACAAATTGAATTCAAAAATAAACAAAAAGACAGATTGAATATTTTTCTGTCTTTTTACCATTTCAACTCAACTTTAACTATTATTTTATTTAATGGTTGTAATATTTCCTCCAAGTTACTGTTGAAACGATTTTCACATATGAAATAAATCACCATTGTATCATACGCACCTCTGTGGTTTTTCATTTTTTTTCTATTTGGTTCCACAAGTAACAACTCCTGCGTTACAAACAAGTAAACATTCTATTTCCAGGCACCACAGCGTCATTCAACTTCATTCTGAAAACTGGCTACATGCACTACTTTATTTCTCGAATGTATATGGCGAGATGGAGAAACAAAACCATTGATATGCTTCAATGCATTTAGTAATATATTTCCAGTTTCGCTGTTAAACAGGATATTAAATCTCGTATTACACCAAGGTAAGAGAGATATAATACTGCCTTTTAGTTTAGGTGCAGAGATATTGATTTCATCTGCGTTTAAGATAAATAGGAACGTTTACAAATCATGAGCAGTCTATTGGTTGATAATAAAAATATTCATGGGATCATGTTCTTATCAAAGTTTGCGCGATGTGTGTAATTGTTCTGTCTGTCTATCTATCTGCATATTACGACAAATTTTAAATTATTCTAGAATAAATTGGTTACTTAGAAGTAAGAAAGAATCTTATAAAGATTTTGAGGCAGATCAAACAAAAGAAATTAGAGGGCCTTTTTTAAATACAAAAATATTATACTGGCTGATGAACAGTTAAAGGAATAGTATGAAGAAAATTGCTTAACTCCTGATTGAAACAGATTTAAAAAAAAAAAAAAAAAAGAAAATTCTCGCTTTTTTAAAATAGTATTGAGCATGCGTGATAATTTCTACAGTTTACTGGTTCAGTTCGAATAATCAGACAGTGATATATATAAATATTGGATTTTCTCTGATGACCTGGTTAGAATAGAACAATTTCTTATTTAATTTATTCATGTGAATGAAAAAGAAATTAATAATAAGATTTAAGGCAGTGTCTTAAATGGAGGAAATTAAGATGACACATTATGTAGAATATAAATCATTATTTGATGTACATGTACTTTGCTCTTCTGGGGAGTGATATAAATATAAAAGCTTTTCAGAGATAATTTGACATGAAAACAGTCAAAAAATGTTGTAAACTCCTTTCGTACTATGATTTACTTTTGACGAAAAGATTTTTGAAAACTTGTAGTTAGAAAAGTTTGAGTGGCTAGAGAATTTATGATGTCCAAGAATTGGTCGATAGCCTTGTAGTTTAATTTTAAAATGGGGGAAGTATAAACATGCACATTTTACATACGTTTCAGCAAATTAAACTGCGAAAGAGATCAAAAAGTTTTGATTCTTACAAAATCAAATATAAACTTTTTTATTCCCTTGAAGCATATATTAAATGCAATCAAAACTAGTACTTGAATTCAATCAAACTTCTTATTAAACACAACACTCAAAAGTCAAAAGCAATATTTTAATTGTATCATTGCGTATAACTTACCCACAAAATTAGTGTAGTGATAAACATGTAGTTGGACATGTACATATTACTGTTTTTGGGTATTTTGAAAAAAAATATGGCACATTGACTAGTTGGCACCAGCATAAATAAGCACCATTAGTTTTTCGTCATGCTATGAAAAAAATCGAATAAAATCATATTTGGACAGTGTTATTGAGAAAGAACACTAATGAATGTTCAAGTGATGTAAAAACGGCAATCCAGAAAAAATCGAACAAACAAAAGAAAAACTTTAAATCTAACAGTTAACACTATTAAACGAAAACAGAAAGAAATATAAGAATAGACTGCATGTTGATATGATGTCCAACGTTTTATTAAATATTTAGCAATCATCAAATTGTAAAATGCATTACAAGGCTTTTAAAACTATATACCAAAATCGCAATCAAATCAACATAACACAATACGACTTTCGCCCACTTATAACCACTTAAAATGAAATTTAATCTATAAAGATATATTCCGTGCTGTAATGAATAACTTGCAATAGGTACCTTTTGAAATAAAATACTTTGTTAAATGTATTTAAATGATAAGAAGTAGGTGACAATCTGACGATGAAATCCTGAACAATGCAATTACTTGTGATCTGTATTTTGGCTTGCTTCCTCGTACTTGCAATAAGTAAAAAGATTTCAATTCAAAGCAAGGATGATGTTCTTATGAAGAATATATCAGATCTACATTTTCAACTTTTTTCTTCCATTCAAGAGAGAGCAAAAATTATAAAGGTAAAGGTCTTCTGGTGCAGTTGTTAAACCTATTACGAAATTCAATACTGAATTATTTTAAAGTTTTATGCATTTGACTTCCATAGACGGCTGTATTCGAAACTCAGTGCTCGGAGTCAGGCTGTACGTTTGATGCTTGTGACAAAAGAAAACCCTTAAAATCAGGTAAATCTCCTGATCTTCTAATACCTACATATTAGTTGTATCACTGCTGCTTAATGTAATTTGAGATTTGTGGGTCAACAATTTCTGAGTTTAAAAATACAACTGTATATGAATAAATGTAAACTTACGTTTTGATTAAGAAAAGAAAAGACAAAATGATAGGGAAAATGTTCATTTTCATTGAGAGTCAGTCGCGTGGCGCAGTGGTTAGAGCGTCTGCTCTAGAGTCGCAAAGTAAGGAGTTGATCCTTACGTCGCGGGTTCGAATCCCACTGTGGGACGTGGAGACCGGTCCTTCGGATGAGACCGTATAAACCGAGGTCTCGTGTCGCAATAGGTGCTTGCACGAAAAAGATTCCTCACTGCTCAAAGGCCATAAGTGCCGAGTATAGGACAAAATTTGCAGCTCTCTACCAGCAAGTGGTGGCGTCTCCATATGAGTGAAAAATTCTCGAGAGGGACGTTAAATAACATACAAACAAACAAACAAACAAATCATTTTCATTGAAACATTTCTTTTGAAACTTTTACAATGCAGTTTGCAATCAGGGATGGAAGCTTTACAACGGCCATTGCTATCAGCTGTTCAGTACAAAGATGAATTGGTTTGAGGCACAGGTAGCCTTCTATTAGAAATAAGCTTTGTACAAATAAAAGAATTTATGTAAATTGACCTTTGCTAATTCAGATGTTGCATTCAAATAAATTAAAATCTCATTTAAAATTGAAAATTTCTGGTTCTTGTTGCAGCTCTTCTGCAGAAAACAAGGCACAACTCTTCTTCAAATCAACGACGCAGTGGAAAGCAAGTGGCTTTTAAAGAATTATCCAAAAGGTATGGAAGAAAATTCACAGAAAAGAAAAAATCCTAAAAATTTCTAAGGATTCAATTAAAATTTTTTACTACATGTATACGGCAAATTTCTCTCTACCATACTTAACCTTCATACACCAAAATCCATTAGTCCATTCCCTCTAAAAGTTTTAAAAGTCGAAAATTTTCATGTAAGATTAAATTATCTTTACCATATTAAGATCTTACAGTCTCGTTACAAACATAGTCTTTGATTTTGTAATATATTGAAGAGTTTTTAATGATTGTACAAATAAACAATGCAGTTAGGTACTGGATTGATCTGACTGACGCTGGAAAGGAAGGGAAATGGATGACGTTGTCTACAGGGAAAGGACCAACATTTACTGCTTGGATTAAAGGACAACCGGACAATGCCGGGGGAAATGAGGACTGTGCAATTAATAACTGGTCAAAGCCTGGTCACTGGAACGATGAAAGATGTAGTTCTACCTTTCAAGTTATGTGTGAATCATCAGGTTCGAATTCTTTTATTGTATTTTTACTTATTTTTTCTTACATGTCTCCTTTTTTTTAATTACCGATATAAATAAAATATACATGTAGTTATGAAACTATTTTGGCTGCTAATGGTTATATATACGTAGGGGTGTCAAGTTTGTCAATAATTCATATTCGAATATTCAATAAAAGTATTCGAATATATTCGAATATTCGATAAAATCTTGTTTATTTTCAATATGCATTATCCTACCCCGTGACAGTTTTTGCGCCGGTATTTGGAAGTCAACTGGGTGTAAATGATGAACCGATCAAATTTAGATATATGTATTAGTTACAATTATCTAATTATCTGCCTAATGAGAGATTTAATTTTTATCTTTGATACAAGGTTTTGAAAATATAAACAAACTTCCATAGACAATTATTCAATTGGTTTACCGATAATGATATTAAAACTTAGTTACAACCCGAAAAAAAATAAAGTAATGCACTTATTCTGAAATTGAGCCCTTTGCAATATAACTAACTTATTCCATTAAACATCTGATTCAAAGATCAATGAAATTTAATTTGATAAGTACATTCTTCACATCTTTTAAAAAGTCTACAAGGGTTCATTTTATTGTTGTCGATGATCCGATGCCATCTTCAAATCTCAGAAAAACCTCGCTAGATACAACACTGAGTGTTCACATCTAAATATCCAGTACTACCCCTTTTGAAATATAGTCATAAATTTCATTTCAGTGGATTAAATTATTCTTCTGAAACAACTAACGCAAAACGGAATAATTCACTGTATCTCTAAGACCAGAAAGTAGTGAAATATCATGTTGTAAATATTGCATTTATCTCCATCTAGTAGATTCAAAATAACACGGTAGAAAGAAATCGGGTGATCGAATTTGATTGCTAGAACCAAACTGTTTCAGATCAAAATCCCCATAGTTATCACCTTTCGTGAAATTTTGTGAAAAAAAATCAAAATTTTCGGATCTTAAATTCTTATCTGAATATCAGCTCATCGAATGAATACTCGAAGACATCTCTATATATGAGTGAGAGTGTACTTTCAAGCGGCTTTCAATTTAAATGCTTTATCTCAATTAAACCTATTAATACATATACTTGTAGATAATAAGCAGTACGATATCTGTTTTAAAAAATTCATAATTAAAAAATATAGTTATGAATAATTGAAAAAATACATGCATTGTCCGTTTGTAGAAAACAATAATACGAGCTTAATACTACAACAAATACTGATAGTCCCTTCAATTCCAAAATGGGTATCTATTGGGGATTTTAACATATCGGTTAACCTGTTGACGTTACTTTGAAACGATGGTACATGTAATCGTTTTGAAAATCGGTTAGTCGAGAAAAACTAAAATATGTATAAATTTGAACGCAATTTTCGGAATATTCAATTAAAAAAGTTTGTAGGTATTTTGCTGTTTAAACCCATGTTGTTACCCAGCCTGACATGTATTTCTTATTATGATTTTAGTTTTATGATCGTTGAATATAATATGTACTATACCTCATTTATCCTTTGCAGTTACCTATCAAAGTATATTTTTAATTTATTTTATAAACTTTGTAAATTAAGCGACAGTACAGACTTGGTTTTGATTATGGTGTCAATGCAACTTGTGTGTCTGATCTGATCTGAAAGAAAATCTGATGGTTCAAGAATGATTCAAGATTTAAGTTTATTTTTTTTCTTTTTCTATTGAAATTGAAAAAAATGTTTATAGTGTTATGATTTACGGAAGCCCGTTGAGGCCAGTTCAGAGAAAGAAATATTTTTTATTGCGTTTAAACGCAATAATTATTGCGTTTAAACGCAAAACATTGCGATTAATCGCAATGTATATTGCGTTTAAACGCAAAACACTTTGCGTTTAAACGCAAAAGATTGCGATTAAACGCAAAAGATTGCGATTAAACGCAATCTTTTGCGTTTAAACGCAATACTTTTGCGATTAAACGCAATACTTTTGCGATTAAACGCAATACTTTTTGCGTTTAAACGCAATAATATTTTTGCGTTTAAACGCAATATTTTTGCGTTTAAACGCAATATTTTTGCGTTTAAACGCAATAATTTTTGCGATTAAACGCAATACTTTTGCGATTAAACGCAATAGTATTGCGATTAAACGCAATAATTTTGCGATTAAACGCAATAATCTTTGCGTTTAAACGCAATAATCCTTCCTTATAAGGATTTGTTTGGCATTTAAAAACAGTGATACTGTAGTTTCAAAATCAAACATGAATTAGTCAAAGCTTATAATTACATGTACTAGGACCCGAAACTTCAAAATAAGAAGATCCCGATTTGTTCTGTGTCTTTTTGCAAAATTTTCCAGTTTTTGAAAATTGTAATAAAACAATGGCATCCTAACAACCTGAATGTCTTAAATGTATTAGAACCCAAAACTCTTAATGAAGTTTCTGATCAATTGCTTACGTGTATCACAACTTATAGAGAAAGTTTCAGTGGTATTAATAGCACTTGTCAATTTGATACATGTAGTACACAGCGATCAATCTGTTTTCATTTGATTTTGATTTTGACCTCATATAAATCCATCACGTATGTTCTTGTGTTTACTGTATGCAACCATAGGAAGGGTTATGAATGTACATTGAAGTCTAAATACTTCATCATGTTGTACGTAATTCCAACATTTTCTCAGTCCTTTCCAAAAATCCCTTTATACATGATTTAAACTTGTGACTGCAACGTATGGGACAGTTTTTTTTTTAGCAGAACAACTGACCGAAACTTCATTAAAAATGTAGAGAATAAGCTTAAGACATGTCTCGTTCTTAGGATTCCTTTGTTTTTACAACCCGACATTTTTTTTCCTCTATAAATTCTTATTAGTGATTTACCTTTCAGAGAGTGTTTGCTCGGAGAAATCTGATTCTATAAAGACAACACACAATTTCCTAATAAGTAAAAAGAGAAAGAAATAAAAGATAAAAGTATGCGTGGGTCCATTGTACTCTGCAAGGTTTGATACAAATGACTGCCTTTAAACACAAAGATTATTGCCTTTGAACGCAAAGATTATTGCGTTTAAACGCAAAAGTATTGCGTTTAAACGCAAAAATTATTGCGATTAAACGCAAAAGTATTGCGTTTAATCGCAAAAGTATTGCATTTAATCGCAAAAGTATTGCGTTTAAACGCAAAAATTATTGCGATTAAACGCAAAAGTATTGCGTTTAATCGCAAAAGTATGGCATTTAATCGCAAAAGTATTGCGTTTAAACGCAAAAATTATTGCGATTAAACGCAAAAGTATTGCGTCTAATCGCAAAAATTATTGCGTTTAAACGCAAAAATATCATTGCGATTAAACGCAAAAATTATTGCGTTTAATCGCAAAAGTATTGCGTTTAAACGCAAAAGATTGCGTTTAATCGCAATCTTTTGCGATTAAACGCAAAGTGTTTTGCGTTTAAACGCAATATACATTGCGATTAATCGCAATGTTTTGCGTTTAAACGCAATGATTTTTGCGATTAAACGCAATGTTTTGCGATTAAACGCAATAATTATTGCGTTTAAACGCAATAAAAAAATATTTCTTTTTCTGAATTGGCCTCAACGGGCTTCCGTAATGATCAAATATAAACACAATATTTTAATTACTAACATCTTTTTTAAGTCTTTTTGTTTATTTGAATAGAGCTTACATGAAAAAAAAAAATGTCAAGAATTTTATATGATTAACCGATCAATAGGTCGGAACGTCATTTAACCGATTGGCTTTATGTATATCCGAATGCCATTTTTAGTATCTATATTTATTGTTTTATTTTTTCAGGATCTGGATTCTGATATTGTAGGAACGCTGGAAATAAATAAAAAGAAATTTATACAAACACTTTTATTCATTTTATTTTGTACAAGTGTTTGCTGATTTGTGCTGATATATAACGTGCATGATTGTCATATTGCTTTATTTTGATCAGATTGACAAGTGTTGATACAAATAAAAAATCGAAAGCTTAACCAGGCACGTAGAAACGGGGTTGGGGTGAGTACTGTCACGTAATTTTCTCTGTACTTTTTCCAGAGTCTAATTTTTTGCTGTTTATATTTTGAAAAACAATTCTACGTGACTGACTTAACAATCATGAAAGTGTTGCAATTCAGGTCTTTTCCTTGTGTCCTTCTTTGTCAAACCTAAAACATTTAACATATTTCAACATTGCACACAAAAAAAATTGACTTAGACTAATTTAATTATTAACCATTTGGTTTGTTAGGGTTTTTTACAATAATATTTTGGCAATTTGAAGTCTTGGGAAAAAGTGATTAAAATTCTCCACGAGAAAATATTTTTAACAAAGCAAGAAATGTGCTGAATTTGAAAAATTTTAGGCCTGAATTCCTGAGATAAAGATTTTAAGAGATTGTTCCTGTTTCATTTCATTTTTTTTTAAATGTAGATTCTTTTTGTGACCCCATCCATGCCCAAGGGGCTATACATAGAATGAACAATTTTCAATCTGTATAATAACAATCTTTAATCTTATGGTGAGTTTTAAAGATTTTCCCTCTTAATTTCTATGTGAAGCCTTGAACCATCTGTAATTTTATTTCTTCTCTAGCGCCTTACATTGAACAAACCAAAAATATTCTAGAATTTATATTTTCTATAAAGTATTTTGGACTCTCTTTCCAACTTATACCCATAATTCCCTTTCTAAGGAGGAAATTCATATGTCAGTTTTGCAATTTTTTGATATTCCCAACAATCAAATTGAATTTAAATTACCATACTTATACTGAATTCCTAAACTACACAAAACTCCTTACAAACAAGGATACATAGCAGATTCAAGTAAATGTTCTACCAAGCCTCTCTCTATACACCCCAGTAAGATATTAACAACAGTGAAGGAGAAACTTGTACTGAACAACAATTATTGCTGGATATTGGCTAGAGACTCGTATTGCGATATATTGCGATACTTTTAACTGTATTGCGATACGTATTGCAATATTTTCAACAAAAAATTTAAATGGTATTTACTTATTATATTCACTTTCTTTTACATGTATAATGTACATAACTATGATAAATAACAAATAAAAGATATTTTGTTGATAGAATTACTGTTATG